TCTTGCCTATCACTTCTGCTAATGTTTTTAGCATACTAGATCAAGATTTTAAGTCATTCATGCTCACGGTCTTGCTCTACCAGATGGCCATCTGTCTGAACATGTCTCTAACAACCAAATCTTGCCTGTATCACACTCAATCTTAATCTCAGCCTGCCCACAAGGCTGCTAAAATCCATCACTTTAGGGATGGTAGTGGTAATGGGGCAGATTCCCAATGATCTACTGTGAATTACTACTGTACTTAATTAGTAGAATCAGTTTCCCAAACTTAGATGATTAGCCAAGCAGTCCAACTGTATTTTTCAAAACAAAGCAAGCCAGCTAAACCAAAATACCCCTCATTGTAAAACACTACGCTTCTTCTTTTTTTTTTTCAAGATTTTATTTATTTGACAGAGACACAGTGAGAGAGGGAATACAAGCAGGGGGAGTGGGAAAGGGAGAAGCAGGCTTCCCACTGAGCAGGGAGCCCGATGCGGGCGATCCCAGGAGCCTGGGATCATGACCTGAGCCGAAGGCAGACGCTTAAGGACTGAGCCACCCAGGCGCCCCAAAACACTACGCTTCTGATGAAAATTAATTCACAAGTGAAAATCCTTCAATCATCAATATGAGCTAGAAGGTATGGCATATTAAAACATCTTTCACGTTCTCTCCTTTCTTCTCATACAAATGCAATTACATGAGCTATAAAACTGCACTTAGGGGATAGAAAAATGTTCAAAGATCAGTAAATAATAAACGCAGCAAAAAATATAGGCTGTAACCATTAGATAAATTAAAACCTTAATTCTTGGGGCGCCTGGGTGGCTCAGTCAGTTAAGCGGCTGCCTTCGGCTCAGGTCATGATCCCAGGCTCCTGGGATGGAGTCCCACATCGGGCTCCCTGCTTGGCGGGGAGCCTGCTTCTCCCTCTCCCTCTGCCTGCCTCTCTGCCTATTTGTGCTATCTCTCTGTCAAATAAATAAATAAAATCTTAAAATAAAATAAAATAAAAACTTAATTCTTATTTTCAGATGGATCAGGCTAGATGAAACATAACCTTTAGAAATACTAAAATAGATTATGAATTTTAGTTGATGGGAGGAGCAGTTCAGAGAAAAAATTAATCATCAGAATACTATACTAGAGCTGGGACATTTCACAAAACAGAAAAATTAGTACTAGAGCTTCTCTTCTCTAAAAAAAACAGCCCTCTTCATAATAAGCCCTTTCCTTTAATTCTCATCCCTATTTCAAGTTTTGCTTCAACCAAAGGACAAAGGAGTTTTTCACTCTAAAAACAAGAGACAGAAGGGCATTCAAGTAAGATCCTTTTAAGTCAGTTACTCATAAACCTGGCTGCAGCTAGAATTATCTGACTCCATCTCAGACCAGTTAAATCAGAATAGGTGATGGTAGGGTCCAGAAATAGTTATTTTTTAAAAAGCCCCCTGGGTGATTCTACTCTACAGTCAGGTTTAAAAAGCACCATTCTAAATTTAAAGGATCCTCAATCAGAACTATTAAGCAATTCCTATTTTTTATTCTGTACTATGGGAAACAAAGGAGAAAGAAAAATAGAGTAACATTTAAGTTGCCAAACTGCAACTGAAATAAATTATATTACACTTTCTATCTGAAAACATTAATTCCTGAATTATAAAATCAACAGCCCTAACTATGCAACTAATTTATTTAAAAGTTGACAGTGTAAGCTGCTCTTTTCTTCACATCTAAAGAGAAACTACTATAATCCTGTCACAAGACTCTACTACCAAAACCAATCAAGATTCTTTCATTAATTCAACAAACATTTGTTAAACTCATGGTATATACCAGACAGTGTGTTAAGTGCAAGAAAGGGTGGGGAATAAGATAGGAACATACTGGTGAATAAACTCCCTTATGAAAATTTCAGTCTATCATGGAAAATAGACATTGACCCAAACTACCAGTATGGTATCTTTTACAAGGTAGGTATAAAAGTACCAAGTGCTACAGAGACTTATAAACCTGGAGGATTAAACTACTCTGGGGCAGGGGGTGAGAGGGTTGGAGAGGGGAGCAGGAGGAGTTGGCAAAATCAGGGAACACTTTTCTCAAGAAATGATACCTAGAGTGAGATCTAACTTACCAAGAGCAAATAGTTAATTGGGTGAAGACAAGGGTAGTGCTGGCAGTCACAGAGAGGAAAATGGCAAACGCAAAAGTCCTGGTTGGGGGTGGGAGGGTGGGAGGAACCAAAGCATTCCAGGAACCAAGAGAAGATGAACATGGCTAGGGCAGAGAAGGGAGCAAGGGGAAGAGTAGCTCATAATGAGGTTAGAAAGGCAGGCAGATGGCAGATCACACACAACCTTGCAGACGTTAAGGGTTTGAACTTCATCCTTAAATCAATGGGAAATCACAGCAAAGTTTTAAACAAAGGAGTGACAATCTTTTTGCAAACCAATCTGAACAGTTAAATTTTTGCTAGGACTGTCCTAAAAGAATGCCCCGACTAGTATTTCAAGAAATGTGGAAGTAATATTCTTATAGAGGTGACAGGATCATCAAGCTGTCAAAGATTGATCACATCATTCATTAAGAGCATGCATTAAAATTTCTCTACTTGAATTCCATTTTTACAAAAACAAGATTTGGATTGTAATTTAGGTTTCCATGAAATACTTCCTAGATGGAAGAACACTTTATTGGCTGGTCACCGTAACTGTGTGAGACCATTTGACCATTAAATCTCATGGGATATTAGAAAATTAACATTCTGGGGCACCTGGGTGGCTCAGTTGGTTGGGTGACTGCCTTCGGCTCAGGTCATGATCCTGGAGTCCCAGGATCGCGTCCCACGTTGGGCTCCCTGCTCAGCGGGGAGTCTGCTTCTCCCTCTGACCCTCCCCACTCTCATGCTCTCTCTATCTCATTCTCTCTCAAATAAATAAATAAAATCTTAAAAAAAAAAAAGAAAATTAACATTCTATTAGTTTATCGTGAGTAACTATATGCCCTATTTAATGGTTATTTATAGTTTTGTCTGCCCAGAAAGCAACCCCCATCTTCTGTGGAAATGCTCCTATGGTTTTGGTAGGAGGGCTACCAATGATGAACTTCACTCCCGTGGCCACAGAAGTGAGTCTGGGCTCCTCATTGTATTCGCCCTTTTCTGGCTATAGGTACTGATCCAAAGGATGGCACATGAGCTAGGTTAAGCCAATCCTGTGAAGCTTAGAGAGATACTACTCCTTAGTGTGTAAGCTCTGTAAGGGTGTGACCTTGAAGGAACCGACAGTCAAACTCCTTATCTGTGGAGAAGCCAGAGTACAAGCAGAAACCCTGAGAGAAAGTAGAGGCAGAGGCAGTTCTGATGCATTATAATACGGTCTAGTCAAGTCCCTGAGACCAGCTGCACCCCTACCTTTCTGGATTTACTTCTCCTTTTGTTTAAGCTAGTCTGAGTTGGTTTTTGTCACTTGCAACCAAAAAGAAAACAAACATCCAATGCTATGAAAAAAGGAATGAACTGGCTTTCAGTAAATAGTATTTGCATCATTATCTACTAGGATTTAAGCATTACTTCTGTCCTTGCAGAGGAAAGCTATATTCCCAGTTAAGATTTTATAATTTTTACAGGAATAAGACACATACATAATAAAAGATCAAATGCAAGTCTGTAAACATTTTAAACTAGAATTTTTAAGATCAGAGAAGGGAAGAATTGACATACATTAAAAACAATGTTTTAGGAATCAAGAGACCAAGGTCCTCAACTGTGTCTTACACTACTGTTACCTTGGCATATCACTTATTCTTAGTAAGCTACAATTTCTTCACCTGAAAAGAGAGAATGCTCTACACTATGTCTTAGGGCTGCTTCCAGACTGAAATCACTGGATCGTTTTAAGGAAAAAAGCATATTCCTCATTCACATTATTCCATATTAAACAAAAAAGTGTAAATTTATTTTTTTAAATAACCTAAATTCAACTTTTTTTCCTATTTAACAGCCTACTATTAATATATGAAATTCTGAAAGACTACTACCACAAAGGATCCCTCCAAATAAAAAATGAGAACCCCAAAAGATATTCAAAAGAATATCTGGTATAAACTGAATGGTTTCTTAAAAATACAGCCTTATTTTCCAATTATTTTTAAGGTATTTAGAACTAGAAATTTTAATCTTTCTTGATCCTACTAGAGCATAACCGAGTATCCTGGTCTTTTTTTTTTTCTCCTGAGTATCCTTGTCTTGTTACTAATTTAGTCTTCAGAAAATTCTAATTTAGTAGAGTGTAACACCATTTTATTTTAAACTAGCAATAGATGGGGGGAAAAAACTCAATACAAACTTTAGGCAAAGAAGAAGTAAGGTGGAGTACAAAGAATCCCGATTTAGAAATCAGGAGAACAGGTTATAAAGAATTTCATTCTCAGTATCAACTCCCCTCCAAAGGGCAAGTTTTTAGATTCAAATGTGCTAGCTTTGTGACATTTTATTCTGCGGGCCAAGGCTTTGCCTCAAAAAAACAAAAACAAAACAACTACTTTGGAAAACTTTTTGAAGGTGCACTTCGAAAGTTCAGGCCCCAGATCTATTTCACATGTGGGGCCATGTGTCCCACAAGCGAATCGATGACACCAAAAATATAGCTCAAATGGAGATTTAAAACATTACCCTCGTACTGCCTTGTCAATAAAATGGGGAACCTTACTCAAAGTAAGTCCTAGACACCGAGCCTGGGGGAGAAACGGCTGCTTTTGCCCTTCCCATTTAATTAAGTCGACCAGACCCAGCAGCCCCTCCGCAGGGTCTCAGGAGGGGAAAAGGTACTCAGTGAGTGAGGGTCAAAGCACACCGCCCCAGAGCGGGACGCTCCTCCCCGAGGTCCCAGGACGGTCTCAGGAGGCAACAGGGCTCCGGTGGAGCTGGAGACTTCGACGGTTGGGGCCTGGGGTCGCCCCGCGGCCGAGGAGCCACACGGGGAGGCCTGTGCGTGGCAGTCGCCGGACAGACTCACCTCGGCGTCGTCTTTGCACTGCGGGAGCGAGGGGAACTCCAGCTTCACGTCCTCCATGGTCCCGGCCCCGGGGCTTGTGGGTGGGGTGGGAGTGGGAGTTACCCGGCCCGCCCGACCCTCGGGCTGCCAGTGGCAGAGAAAGGAAGGAGGGCGGGTGGACCGGAGGACTGACGGGCGGGCAGCGGGCTTACAACTAAAACACGCAGACTAAAGGGTCCCAGCGACTCCGGCGGCGACGGCGGCGACAGCGGGGAAGAGGAGGGTTGGGCGGCTCATACCCTGCCGCCATGCTGCTACCGTCTCCCTCCCCCTGAGTCTCCGCGCCCCTCAGGCCGCACAGGCTCGGGCACCAGCAAAAGCCCTACAACCGTCTCCCCTCCTTCCCCCGCCCTCCCCGCACTGCCCCAGCCAATCCCAGCCCACGCTTGCCTTCGGCCCGCCCCCCGCGGCCGCCAGGTGTCAGCGCGCCGCCGCCCCGCCCCTTCGCCAGAGCGCAGACGCAGGGGGCGGGGCCTCGGAGGAGCAACGGCCGAAGCTCACCGGGTGTGGAGGAGGTGGGGCTGCGGCAGGAGGGAGGGAACGACTGAATGTCCTGGGAAAGGCAGTGGGAAACCAGACCACCTCTGCCCTTTCCAGACGGGACGCAAAGCCCTTCTGTAGTACAAGAACGGGTAAAACATACAGCCACCAGAAACTGGCATCCGAAAGGAAAACTGTAGTTTCTTCCCTCAGAATCCTGGCGCAATCTGTGGTGAGGTTATAACCAAAAGAGTAATAAATGAAGAGTTCATCTTAAAACTCTGTTACGCTACACAGAAAATGAAACACCCATCACTTTTAAGCAAACTGAAACGGTGGACTTTTAATACTTGGGAACATGACTAGAAAATCTCAAACAATGGCAAATAGAAAATCCTAAGAACAAGAAACAACTGATAGTTCACTCAGTATATACATGATACTGAAGGAAGCTCTCTCCCTTTCATTCTAAGTTTATGTTGAAATATTAATATTATATATAATTATATATATTAAACTACATGGCTTTCATTATCTTTTAAAAAAGGAGTTTGAGTCTGTTAATACTATATTATAAATAGAGGTGAGGTACAGGGTACTTTCTCTGGGCCTAGGGAGATAGTTACCCTTTTTATTTTTAAACAGATGAGGAAAACCAAACGTAGAAGCAGAAGAATCCACACTTAAACTTTCAAGATTTGTAAACCAAACTGATTCTTTAAAAAAAAAAAACAAAAACCACCAAAGTAGAAAGGTGAGAAAGTCATTAACGAAATTGCTAATTACAATGAACAAAGTTAAAAGAATCACATGGATATTTGACCAAGACCCCCTTGACAAACATCGTATTATTTTTATATTGTCATTTTTATGAAACATACTGCCAACATATATAGAAATAGAACTTGTTCAGTAATTTATTTGATGGTTAGCTTGAGTGCTCCGTTTTCTCTACCACTATGTAAACTGTTATCTCTTAAAGTTATAAAAAGACACACTATACTCTGCTAGTAAGTTTTTAATTTGAAGAATGATTGTATAATTACCCACATCATATATCATACATTCTTTAGTCTTTATTAAACTGAAGTCAATTTGGTTTTTTTTAAACAGCACCTTTAATAAGATCTCAATTGATGCCCAATGATGATTTCCTATTTTAATTTGTTAAGGCTTTAATTCCACATGATATAAAAAGAATTGTGTGTAGGTAACAGAACTTTGGCTTTGAACATTTCTGACATCAACATCCCCTACATCAGACACTCTTAGCTTGGTATCCATAGATACCTACAGTCAATGGGTGAGCTTGGAAAATAATAAATCTCCTTTTAGTATATGCAAAATTGTGTGTATGTATGTGTGACTTTTTCTGGGAAGAGGGTCCAGACCTTAACATTCTAAAAAGGGAACGATCGGGGCGCCTGGGTGGCTCAGTCGTTAAGCGTCTGCCTTCGGCTCAGGTCATGATCCCAGGGTCCTGGGATCGAGCCCCACATCGGGCTCCCTGCTCAGCGGGGAGTCTGCTTCTCCCTCTCCCTCTCCCCCTGCTTGTGTTCCCTCTTTCGCTGTGTCTCTCTCTGTCAAATAAATAAATAAAAATTTAAAAAAATAAATAAAAAATAAAAAGGGAACGATCATCTCACATAAATCAAGAAAACCAAGTCACATTTGTTAGCAAATATTACTTTTAATCATAATCTAAAAAAAGGTTATGGATGTGCATGTACTTTTTCAATTAACTATCGCACAGCCTAATCATAGTAGGTGAAGAGTAAACAAAGACCTTCCATTATCAATATAGACATTCACGTCTATGCTTTGTATAACAACTCTTAGGAGCACTGAGTGTGGGTACAGTTTTAAAATTCAAAAGCCCATCATCTAAATACAACTCATTTTGGTTATTAAATAGTTTATTTACTAAAGAATTTAAAGGACTATAATAAATGTACTTTTAAAAAAGACAAAAATATGTGTTGGAGAACTGAATCAAACAGATTTTATTCAACTTTTTAGGATGAGGAAAACAAATGATATAAAATAAGTCATAAGAAATGCTCTCTTGTACTATTTCAAACTACTTTTAATGTTTTACAAAATGCTCACACAGCAAATACGAAAAGCTTTAACATAGTCTTATAACTTCTGCTGCAATAAATGCAACATTAACAAACATACAAATTTCTTCTGTACCAATCTTAAAAGTAGAATTACTGAATTACTAATTTTTACAATGTTATTCATACTTATTTTTATTCATATGTATTTAATGAGATCACTGCCAATACATACATTATTTTCCTTAACTTTATTTTTACATTGAGCCCGGTATCTGTCATGCAGCCATCAAAAACCTTCCAGAAAATTACACAGGTTTGTAGTCCAACTTAGACTCTAGCTTCTTAGAATCAGCCACTTTTCTGACTGCTTTCATGAAGTCTTCCTGTACTACAAAATCATGATCAGCACGAATTGCAAACATACCTGTGGAGAATAAAACAACATGACTGCTGTATATAATATGTGAATAATTTGTTAATTAGAAGAAAACTAAGGGGGGGTGGGCAAAATGGGTGAAGATAGTCAAAAGGCACAAACTTCCAATTATAAAATAAGTCCTGAGGATGCAATATACAGCATGGTGACACGACTTAATAATACTGTATTGTAGGGATGCCTGGGTGGTTCAGTCAGTTAAGCATCTGCCTTTGGCTCAGGTCATGATTCTAGGGTCCTGGGGATTAAATCCCACATTGGGCTCCCTGCTCAGCAGGGAGCCTGCTTCTCCCTCTGCCTGCTGCTCCTCTCTCTCTCTGACAAATAAGTAAATAAAATCTTTAAAAAAAAAAAATACTGTATTGTATATTTGAAAATTGCTCGGAGTCAATCTTAAAGGTTCTCATCACAAGAAAAAATACCTTGTTAACTACATGTGGTGATGGATGTTAACTAGATTTATTGTAGGGGTTATTTCACAATAAAAACAAATATCAAATAATTATGCTGTACACCTGAAATTAACATAATGCTATTTGTCAATTATATCTCAAAAAAATGTTTTTTACAAAAACTAACCTACAGAAAAAATGTGAAGGAGCCTAGATTTACTACTTCTGAGCCAGTAGCTCTAATCTGTTAAAAAACAACCATCCTTGGGCGCCTGGGTGGCTCAGATGGTTAAGCGTCTGCCTTCGGCTCAGGTCATGGTCCCAGGGTCCTGGGATCAAGTCCAGCATCGGGCTCCCTGCTCCTTGGGAGCCTGCTTCTCCCTCTGCCTCTCTCTCTCTCTGTCTCTCATGAATAAATAAATAAAATCTTAAAAACAAAAAAAACAAAACAACCATCCTTGTTCAATTACTTAACTATACTGAGCATTATTTTCCAAACCAATAGCTAGACAACAATGAGACAACTATCTGGATATTTAAAATCTAGCTCACACAGTCCCTGTATCCAATGACATTCTGAAAAAGCAAAATAAACACAACTCAACTATCAACAAAACACATTTTAAGCAGTAGCTTCTTAACTCTATAGGCAACGATTGCCTGGAAGGAGGGAACACATGTATGATTTGGAAAAACACAAAACACCTCCAGTAATTTTGATAGTCTTTCCTTGTTAATAATCAAAAGTTTAGAGAATAGGAATTAAAAAAAGTCAACACTTGGCTTTATATCAAAAACCAATGCCATTATTCACATATTAAAATTTACCTTATTTATGTACAAATCGATATTTTTATATACTTTGATATTCAAGTATCACAAACTTGGAAAACTCAAGTTATTGATAAGTTACTTGTCAAATACTACTTGATAAAGGGGTAAAAGTTTTGTGTGTGTGTTTTTTGAAACATTAGGTATTATAATAGATATGGGTCCAAGATTTTGAGACAATCCTAATTTCATAAGCTAACGCTAGTAAGTTATCACTATCTGCTAATTAAATGAATCCTACTAATATTTTCATTGAAGATCTGCTTATATTGACTTTCACTTACATACAATCAGTGGAAGAGGAAATTTTAAGGGTTACTTTCTATCTTTCCTTTCAAGATTTCTATATAGTCTTGGAAATAGTCTATGTTGTACTCAGAAATCAGGTGAATGGAAATTTCTAGTCTTTTAAATCTTTTTTTTCTTTAAGATTTTATTTATTTATTTGACAGAGACACAGAGAGAGGGGGAACACAAGCAGGGGCGTGGAAGAGGGAGAAGCAGGCTTCCCGCGGAGCAGGGAGCCCAATGCCGGGCTCCATCCCAGGACCCCGGGATCATGACCTGAGCCAAAGGCAGATGCTTAACGACTGAGCCACCCAGGTGCCCCAGGAATTTCTAGTCTTTTAATAGTGAAGTTTTAAAACCTGTTTTAAAATTACAACTAAAGTAGGTAAGTGATTTTTCCAAACTTTGTGAATGACTATTTCCAAATCATTGTTTAGTGAATGACCAAATGTGAGATACATTCTAATCCAAAAAGGATGATAATCTCAGGATTTCAATGGAAAAGACAAATATAACTGAATCAAGTTTATTTTCAATTACAGAAAGATATGTTAGCATAAAAGGCTTGAAGTCTAATGAAGTCTAATAAAAAGAAAACCAAAGAATTTCTGTGTCTCCAAATATGAATATCCCAGGCCATTTAAAAAACTAAAATTGTAATCCACAAAGAAGTTATAGCTCTTTACTGGAAACAGCTAAAATATAATATATATATACACATATATATATTATATATATATTTTTTAAGTAAGCTCTATACCCAACATGGGACTTGAACTCATGATGCAGAGATCAAGAGTTCATGCTCTACCTACTGAGTCAGCCAGGCACCCCAGCTAAAAATAACTTTTTTAAAAAAAA